CCGGCCCCACCCCCACGGCCACCCCAGCCTGGTGGCCCCCGAAGCCCCCGACCCGCAGACAGCATCGGGCACAGGACACACTCTTCCCCAGCACATGCTGCCCACGACAGGAGGATGGAGAGGGAAAGGTCTGGGGGCCCTCTGGCCATGCCCCAAAGCCGGGTGGGCTCAGCCTGCCCGCCCCTTTCCCCCCTCCAAGCCCCTGCGAGGCAGCGCTTTAACCCACACCCGAGCGGTAAGAAATTTCCAAGAAATCAGGACTATTTCTGGCAGCAAGATTGATGAAACAGAACTAGGGCAGCGTTTTCCATGCAGAAAAACAACGTCTCCCCATAGCCAAGGCTATTTATAACCCCTGGGAATGACGGGCTCCACTATTTCTGGCTTGGGGGCTAGCGGGGGACTCGGTGACGCTGCCCCGGCGCCTGGCCGCTGCAGAGAGGTGCTGGCATTCCCAAGGTCCCGGCACGTGCCGTGGCAGGCGCCGGGCCCCAGGGCCGGGCAAAGGCGGGTGGGGTTGCCTTTTGGGACTTTTTGGTCCCCAGCTGGTGGTATCGATCCAGCCCCATCGATCCCTGTAATGCACGGGGCAGGCAGCGGGGCAGAGCCCGGCACTAATGTCCCCTCGGGGAAGGGGATGGGATGCGGGAGCTGGCAGGGGCTGGCAGGGTCCCCCAGGGCCATGTGCACGTAGCTGCCAGGCGAGGCTCACGCCAAACACGCGGGGTCACTCCTCAAGGACATGGGAGTTTCCTACAGCTGCTGGGTGGGTTGGGGGATGCTCCGGAGAGCGCAAAGATGTTCAGAGCCGCTGCTCCAGCCGTGAAGCTGCCATTCCCCTGACCCAGCCTCCTCTGCCCGCCTGTGAAGCCAACACATGTCATGATGGGGCTGAACTTGGAGTCCCGCGTGTCCCTTCTTGCACGCTAAGACCTCAAGCTCCTGAGGACAGGCTTGAGCTGCCCGGGCTCTTGGCACAGACCCAGCGCCATGGCATCACCCCACGCCCAGCCCCGTGCCATGGTGAGCCGAAGCAGCTCCTCTGGCGGCCGTGGTGCCATGGGAAACACCGCGGTCTCCAGCGCGGTCCAGGAATGGCTCCCG